GCCTGAACTTTGGGCCTGATCAAGCACAAACAAATGACAGCTTTCCAGGTTACGAAGACCCCAGGTTTTGGATGTTAGCTCTGTAGTAAGATGGCCTACGCTTGAGATGTATCAGCTTGCTTTTGGAAGCTAAGATGCTACTGGCTTGTCTAGGCTAGGATAAAAAGTGTATGGTTTTTTTTTAATGTATTAGCTAACTTGTTTTAAACCTCTAATGTACTATAGACAGGGAAGGTTGTATTTTAATGTGTTAGCTGGTCGAGGTGAACCCTGGAAGGAACCTGATGCCTTCAGTTATCATTAATTTGTATTACATTTAGCGCCTTTAAGCACTACTGTAAGTCATTTCATTTCTCTATGCCTCTGTTTCCCCTCTCGTTCTTTGTCTATCTTGTCTATTTAGATGATAAACTCTTTGGGGCAGGGACTGTCTCTACTGTGTATTCATACAGTGCCTAGCACAATCGGGCCTTGGTTTTAGTTGGGGTCTCCAGATGCTACTGTAATACAAATACTAATAATATTTGCAAGCATTGTACATACAAAGTAAAACTAAGTCCCATTTTCAAAAGCAATTTAAGCATGTAGTAGTCTAAGTCCTACTGACTCACAATGAGACATAGGTTACTACATGCCTACAGGTATGTGTACAAAGCAAAAGTTGTGCATGGCTAGCCTGCCTGAGCTAGTGCAGGGAATGATAACAGTGAAGACAGCACAGCACAGATGGTACAAACCCAACGCAGAGCCTGGGTATATATGTGACTCGCTAGCCCACACTGAAGCCTGCACTGCCCTGTCTTCTCGGCTATTGCTACCCAGGCTAGCTGAATTCAAGCTTGCTCAGGTCGACTCGCCCATGCACAGCTTCTTCTATGTAGACAAACCCTGAGTCGCTTTTAAAAATGAGACAGACTCCTAAGTGACTTAGGTGCATCTGAAAGTTTTACCCACACCTGGTAAGAAACTGTCCGTGCCCTGAAGTGCTTATAATCTAAAATGACAAAAGGTGGAAGAGTATTAGTAGAATCCCTGATTTACAAATAGGGAAATGAGGTACAGAGAGACTAAGTGACTTGTCCAAGCTACATAGGACGTATGTGGCAGAAGTAGGAAATGAATCCAGATGTCCTGAGTCTCAGCCCAGTGTGTTAATAACAAGGTCGTTATTCCTCTCCCAGTGGGACACGCATGAATAAGGGTTTACAGGGCTGTGCCCTAGAGGCTCTCTCCTCCTGCATTCCCCAGTATTTGGGGCCATCTGTCTCACACACTCACAAGAGTTACTGGTGCTGTAGTGAAGGGTGGGTTAAGAACAAAATAAAATAATTACTAAATGAGGGCGGTGGCATCGGAACCATTTTTATAGTGGGGTGCTGAAAGACATTAAACAAAACTGTAAACCCGGTATATGATGGAAACCACTTCAAGCCAGGGGGGCTGCTGTGCCAGACCCCCAGCACCTCTTGTTCCAGCACCCCTGAATGAGGGTTTCCCCTACTCCCTGGTCACTAGAAATCTGTGATTAGGAGTCTCCCACCTCCAGTCACCAACAACTGCCTGTGCGCGGAGGAGCCTCCTTCCTCGCACTTGTCAAGGATTGTGAGACTGGGTGCCTGTGTCTGAGCTCTCTGTGACTCTCTGTCTCTTCAGGCTGCATGGACCCTTGTTGCCTCCCCTTGACTGACCTCTGGAAAGAAGCTGTCAGAGCCTGTAACCATCCCTCTGGCTGTCAATCAGCCAGGGGAAAATCTGCACCCCCTCCCGCCGTTAAAGCATAGCGAGACTCTGACGTCACTCCTGAGCCCAGTTGCCATGCCATATATGGCTATCTGGCTGGGTGGAGTCTTGTACAAATGGCTGGCTAAGCTGGTGTTTGGCAGTCGCTGCAGTACCGAGAGCTGCAACTGTAGCTGTCAGGACTGTCAGATGGGCCAACAGCCGCTCAGGAAAATTTTGCATGGATTTGATCCTTTGGGTTTCCTGGTTTATAGGTTTGTGTCACAGTTTCAACATTATCTGACTTCCTTTAAAACTGGATATCTGAAGGGACTGACACTGGGCTGGAGATATATATTTTCATTTCTACAATGGCAGTTCATTCAGATCAGTTCAAATCAGCTGTGGTGACTGCATCTGAAATCTATGCCGTAGCCTTCATAAAATGAGTTAGAGGGTTTTAGTGCCGTTCCTGGTGAATACATCACAAAAGCCACCATCTAATTTGGCACTAACTGGTCCCCTTCTTGGGCGCTGCTGCAGCAACAAAGCCAAGAATTGAATAAGTTATGGAGACTGAACTGCACTCTGCAGAATACCTTAGGTGGAAAAGAAGCCCATTGGCAGAGCAATGTGTACTGCTGTTTCCTATCCTACAGCTACTTAGACTCAGAGGCTAGTCCCCAGAAATATTAATTTGGAACCTTTTACTACCATTGAATTCACTTTACAAGTACTGTAAAAACAGCTGTTTTTACCATAATTTAGATGGGGGGGAGCTAAATGAAGATTACAAAGCAAGGCACATATCTCAGGTAAATGTTATGATCTGAATAGTGTTATTGCCATGCAGTCAGTTGAGGCCTCTTCTAATTTATACATATTTAATGTGAATATTACTTATCCAGTTGCATAAAAGAATCATTCCAGTCCACCTCAGGTAAAGACATCATTTACAATGGTTTTTAAAATGCATGTCAGTTACTGAAAAGAATAAAGTATCTCCTTGAAGCCCGCCAGCCATTAATGTGGAGTGTTGTGTCAAATTAATAAAGCAAATAAAGCTACAAATAAAGCCTGACTTCTGGCTCATTCATTAATTCCTGGAGAACCCACTGAAATTACAATCATAATGAAGTGTGAGACTGGTCCTTTAAACATCACGGTTGGGACATTCAGAGAATGCTGGAAACGTGGTTTGATACTTTGCCAAGTTATGCTTACAAGGGAACTTCAGTACTCCATTAATCTTTGACTACAGGGAGCTTCCTTGCTAAATTTCTGTTCCATATAGGTTCTTATTGCTCCCATCACCACAGTATCTGAGTGCCTTTCAGTATTGCAGTTCAAACCACTGAGCTACAGCCAGTGTAGCCCCCATCAGTAACAACAACAGTGGGACTACTAGTGTGGACTGGCCACCATTGTATCATGGACTAGCCAGTGACATTTTAACTACCTTATGATCTAGGCCTGCTTTGAGCAGGATTAGATGACAGAGATAAAAATGTCAGCAGCTGGCCTACAGTAGCTCTACTACCATTGCTACCTCCAAAGGAACTGAACTGGTGCTTAAGAAGGAAACCATGTTAAAACCATTTTTAATATTGTTTGTGCAAAAAGGTGTTAAAAGAAGGTAACACTTTCAGTAGTTTCTCTAGCCAGCATACTCCAAACCATTCTACAAATTATGCTCTGGCAGCTTGTCTGATGGGATTAGGCTTACTACCCCAGGAAGCTACATTTTACATGTTTTCATGGCTAACATGGTTTCACAACTAGTATAAGTTCCTGGACTACACAAAGAATATTGGGATCTGCAATTCTTCATCAATCCAGGGTGTGGACATTTTTGCCACTACCCGCATGGTGGTTAAAAATGCCTTGGTTTTGTTAATTTCATGTGTTCAAAAATTGTGAGTCAAGTGCAAAAAACCCCAGGAGATTTTAAAAAGTAATGATTTGGGCAGTTCTTTTAATTTGCTTTTTGATTGTTGACCCTTTAGGGTTCATGTTTTTAACGGTCTCTTCAACCATCAGGTGTAGTAGAAACTTACTTTTTTAGTAAAAGCTGAGAATCTGACATAATCACAATTCTAGAATCTGAGGCTTCAAGTAAAATACTCAATATTGCAAGACTCATGAAAAAATGAGAGTTGGCAGCAGAGTCCTTTCTTCACTCCAGCCTCCACCGTGACTCCAACAAATGGAGTTACACTGGTGGAGAATTATGTGGCCTAATTTTTCTAATGTGGAAGCATGTGGCCTCCATGCTAGATGTTGATTTTTTGATTATGAGCTCTTTAGGGAAGGGATTGTCTCATAAAAAGGTTTGAATAATAACTTACATATTGGCGGTTGCTTCTGCAATATACATAAATAAAAATATCTATCTCCCAAATATCAGGGCCCTAATAAAACTTGCACTGACTTTCATACACATGCATACTGTATAGTCTTTTAAAATGTGAAGTTTACAGGACCACTGCCTGGAAAATGCACTGTATTCTCTGTTACCTACAGATATCTTTGTTTTTGCCTAAATACTCAGGCCAAAACCTTCAACTGTGTGTGCCCAAACTCAAGTAATTAAGGGGGACATTTTCAAAAACACCTGACTGATCTGGGAGCACAAATCCCATTGGCATTTTTTGCTCCTTAACCCCATAGGGTCTTTTGAAAGTCTTCTCCTAAATCCATATTTAGGTACCTACATCAGTCACTTGGAGTTTTAAGCATGTATTTATGTTGCAAAGTTTTGGTTTGAATGCCTGATATTAGGATTCAAAGCCTGAAAAAGTTGGCCTAAGCACCTAGCTAGTAAGGCAAGGACACATTGGAGATTACAGATAGTGTGGGGGTTGCACTAAATTTTTGGTGGTGTACTGATCGTTTTGTAGGTACATATCCCGTGTGGCTTCAAAAATACACCAGCCGCGAGAAGAAAAAGCTCCCAGTTCACAGGATGGCCTGGGGGGAAGATCACAGTCCGACTAAGGCGGCTGCCTTGTAGTTATTGCAAAGGCTGCAGACGGAGTAAAGCAGGGACAGCAGCTCCTGGTGCTGCGCCCTTCTCTGCTGCTCTGGCCCAGGACGAGGCGACCGGGAGGGAGGGAGACGGACTGGCAGGCAACCGACCTCTTGTGGTCACCCCGCAGCTCCGCCCCGGCGGCCCCGCCCTTCTTTATCGGTCTTCTCCAGACCTGCCCCTCCCGCTGCGACCCACGGGCGGCGCCCCTGCCAGCCACGTGACGGCTGCCCAGCTTCCGGGTTGGCTTCCTGCGTCATCAGCATGCGCCGTGCCCGCTGCCTGCCCTGCGGCGCTTCCTCTCGCGGCTAGGCCGGGGCTGCTGAGCGGGGGAAGATGGCGCTGCTGGTGCGGGACCCGGGCGCTTCTCGAGCGCAGCTCGTGCCGCTGCCCTCCGGGGGCGGCTCGGTGCGGGACTGGCTCCGCATTCGCTGCCGCGCACAGGTAGGAGCGGGAGCGCAACTGGGGGCGGCCCTGCCCGTATTGGGGGTGCCTCTGCTCTCGGGGGAGGGGAGCCCCCGAGGGAGGAAGGAAGAGGAGGAGGAAGAAGAAGGTGATGTTGATCTGGTCCCTAAGTTTCCACTGTTGCCCTCAGAACCTGGGTGCTGCCCCTGCCTGGTGTCTTGGGCCTGCTCGTGAATCATTCTCTTCGCTACAAAACCTGCCCCTGTGTGTCTGTGTGGACTAAGGTCAGGCTTGACAAAGCCCTGGCTGGGATGGTTTAGTTGGGGATTGGTCCTGCTTTGAGCAGGGGGGTTGGACTAGATGACCTCCCAAGGTCCCTTCCAACCCTGATGTTCTATGACTAGATTCTAGTGTCCCGCTACTGGAGCGTTTGCTTTTACTGGACAAATTAGAAAATCTCTTTACCAGCAAAGATGTGAGCTTGAAGACCTGTCCCTCCCCCTCTAAATCTTCAGTAGTTGAGGCGATCACTGAAATATCAACAGTGCCCATACCTGCAGCTTCTTGAGCAGTTTCAGGATGTCACTGACACTTAAACTATAATAGAGGAGACCCTGGTTTTGGGTCTTGGCAAATAAATGAGATACTGATTCCTTAAAATCTCTAGTAGGATCCTGTCGATTACTATGTTTTTCTTAATATGTATAAAACAATATCTTATTGCAGTGACATTTAGAGGCCCCAGCTGAGATTGATGCCCCTTTGTGCCAAGTATTGTACAAATGCATAATAAGAGCAATCCTCTTTCTCTTAAGAGCATGCAATCTAAATAGCAAGAGAGATGAGGGAAAGATGAGGACCTGAGACACAAGAGATATTATGTGGTGTGCCTATTAGGGGTCTGGAACACATGACTTATGAGGAGAGGCTGAGGGAACTGGGATTGTTTAGTCTGCAGAAGAGAAGAATGAGGGGGGATTTGATAGCTGCTTTCAACTACCTGAGAGGTGGTTCCAGAGAGGATGGTTCTAGACTATTCTCAGTGGTGGAAGAGGACAGGACAAGGAGTAATGGTCTCAAGTTGCAGTGGGGGAGGTTTAGGTTGGATATTAGGAAAAACTTTTTCACTAGGAGGGTGGTGAAACACTGGAATGCGTTGCCTAGGGAGGTGGTAGAATCTCCTTCCTTAGAAGTTTTTAAGGTCAGGCTTGACAAAGCCCTGGCTGGGATGATTTAATTGGGGATTGGTCCTGCTTTTGAGCAGGGGGTTGGACTAGATGACCTCTTGAGGTCCTTCCAACCCTGATTTTCTATGATTCTAAAGTCACACAGGAAATCTGTGGCAGAGTAAGGAACTGAGCCCAGATCTCCTGAGTCCGCATCTGGTGCTGTAAATATAAGAACATTATTTTTCTCAATTACAAATGATGGTCTGCTATAGCCAAAGTCTACCTTTTAAAAAAAATCCAGTTTTGTAACCTCTTCCGCCTTCACAGCCTTAGGGAGAACAGCAAGGCTTGCACTCCCAACATCTGCAGGTGACAGCAGTGAAATATTTCACTCTTTCTGTCCAGCTGCATCAGACATGCTCTGCCCACTTGCCATGCAGGGAGCCAGGAATGTCTGATCTCATCTTCCTACAATTACTGGAGGAGTTGACAACGCACTAGACGAACTTTGACATCCTGGGGTTGTGGGTATCTTCTTTCTTTCCTCTGATTGCCCTTGAGGAGTGGAGGAAGAGGAGGTGCTTATTTTATTTTTTGACTAATACAAAGTTAAGCACCTCCAATAAGTGATATAAAGTGCATTTTAACAGTGGAATCCATTTGTAGGTGAATGTAAACTACTCTGTAAGCACCTTTAACCTTCACTAAAAACTTGAATTGGAAAATATACCTGTCATCAATAAATCATGATAATAATCTTCCCACCAGCAGAGCCCAGTAGCTTAAGAAAAAGGTAACTCCATAATGTAGCACATACCTGAGTGTACAATGTTAGACATGGGAGGAGGGGAGGAAAGATTCCTTCCTCACCCCTATTTGCAGGCTGTGTAAATCAGGAATGAGAGACTGTACTTTGATTCCAGCTCATCAAATGAGTTACCCATAACTTGATTTAAAAATGTATTTGTAATTTTTAAGATTATACATATTCAGTGAATGATTGGGGGGGGTCTTAGAAAGCTTCTGCTTTGTTTTTAATTTCTTATTAAAAAGGAGGCAAAAAGCCTATTCTCCTTTTATTGTTTTAAAATGGATTACTCAGACTGATCAAAATCCGTTTTTATAGACTGAATGTTATTGTTTCTAGGGCATTCCTGAGGACAGTTTCTATGTGAAATGTAATGGGCGACTGGTTAATACTGAAGACTTGCTACAGGATGGAGTTGTTTATAGTCTGGAGCCAAGACTTTGTGGTGGAAAAGGAGGTCAGTTGCTGATGCCGCATGGGGGACTGTCAAATTTTTAATGTATTCGAATCTAGGGGTAAAATTTCAAAGGCTCCTAAGGGATTTGAGAAACTAAATTTCAATTAAAATCAACAGGAATTAGGCACCTCAGTCACTTTGCTGTTTTTGAAAAGTTTACTCTAAACCATGACCTATGGAGGTTCTTAGCTTATTTTATTCTACAATAAACTTGTGAGTCAGAAAAGTCCTTGATAGCCAGAACCCCTTCATTCTAAGATTTTATGGCCATAAAGCTCAACACAGAATCTACCACTTGCCATGCAGTCCTGTGCCATAACTCAGGCTTTCATTTAAAAAAAAAATTCTAACCTTTATGATCATAAAAATGTGAAGTGAGTGTAACTGATGCAGTGTTGGTTTCCTGTGTCTGCAGTGCAGACAATCTGAAATTGTACCTGTGAAACCTAAACTTGGCCATTTAAATGTCAGAATAAACTGTTTCTGCTAAAGCAATTATCAGTGAAAGATTCAGCTATAATGTGTTTATCACAGAAACTCAAATTGCCTCTCAGCCGTTTAAGTTTCAAAAGACCCAGCTGCCTACTGCTCAGATGCCAGAACAACCCATTTCCTGCTCAATAACTGCATTAAATATATTCTGTATCATCAGTACAAAGATATGCACCCCTCTGAAACACTGAAATGTAGGCACATTATAAAACTGAATTTAATAACAAAGTTAAGCAGGTTACTGGACTAATTATATTTTCATATTTGGTAGATAAATGCATTCATTTTAAAATGTTCAGTAAAGTTCCCCATCATTTCCTATCTTCAGGCCACAGAAATCAAGTGGGCTTCCTTTAGAATTCCGGTCCAGCTTGCTACATCTTGTTTATAGAATTAGGCAGAATGAAAGTAAATACTGCTTCTGTGACTTTTTTTAATCCCCCTGAAGACAACTGGCTGCTGGTATCTGTTTATAACTTGCAAACACCCAGTGTCATGCCTGCCAGCTTCTACTCTACTGTGGCAATCCAGCATGCATCATTCTATGATGTCACAGTTGCCATTGGAGTCCTGCTGGACCAAGTCAACTAAATAGTATTTTTCAAAATCGTACCATTGGCCTTGTCAAGTTCTTCTGTTTGGGTTTTAAAATAAAAATGTGGGGTAAAGCAAGGCACTCTGTCACAAGCCTGAGCCTATACAGGTCTGAGCCTCTGAAGACCTGCGTAATGGTCCCTTTGGGCTTAAAATCAGACCGTCACAGAGAAACTGAAATGTTTATGATAGGACTTGGGAGCGTTGCCATTGACTTCAGTAGGAGCAGAATTGGGCCCAGGTTTAGAAAATAGCTCTCTATACTTGTTAGAATATAAAATCCAGTGAAACCTGTAATAAGCAACTTCCTCACAAGTGTCTGCTTGGAATCAGCTTTGCAAAATTTTATTCACCTATGGCAGTAGTTTGTTTTAATAAGGGAGTGACTAGGTGACTCTCTTGTTCAATGGGTGGGTGTCTGGCTTGGTAAATTTCCATGGCATTTTTTCAAGGCTGCTGTAAGGGTCTTCAAGGATTCTAGTACAGTTTTGTTCAACTTTTAGTTAAAGAATAGTGTAATAAATGGCACTTAGGTAGTACTTTAAAGCTCTGCACTGACATTAATCCTCACTGTTTCTTCACGGTAGTTAGGTAAGTATTATCCGTAACTCGTGAGGGGGTGAGATTGAGACAGAAGTTAAGTGAAGTGACAAGAACAAGTCAGTGGCAGAGGTGCAAGTAGAACACTAACATTACTGGGTCTCCACCAGACCACGTTGCCTTATGTGACTACTGCTCTCGGGCAATTAATTTTTGTTGGCACTCTGCAAAATCCAGGCTATAGCCTGCAAAAATCACTTTCCCAGCCCCTGTGCAGGTGTCCTCAATATATGGGAGTCCTGACAATGGTCCCATTGGGAGATCCTGGATAGATGGGAGGGGAGGCTCAAGTGGTCCCAATATGGAAAAGATTGAGAACCACTGTGCTAGAGGACTCCAGTAGCCTGTGGTATCAGGAATACAGATTCAAGGGATATCAGTAGCTCAGGAATTCAGCTGGCATGACTTCAAGAGAGCTAAAATTAAAAGATGGTTTAAGCTTAGTTATACCTTGAATGCCCCTCTTTGACTTGGTGTTTGAGACATTCAGCTCAATAATATAATTTATCACATTGTATCTATTAAATATTTACAGCTCATCTTTGGCCTCAGTTATTCTGAGAGAAAGCAAGTAGCTAAACTTTCAGTATCTCTTTCTTCACCAGTGGTGGGAGTAACAAGATTTTTTTTTTCTCTAGTATATTATGTCTCATTACCTTGATCTTTATTACTGGTGTGTGGGGAAGAGGGTGAATAGCTATTTTTAAAAATTGTTATGGTCCTGTAGATCTCCCTCTCGCAGCTTTATAGCTGATTTCTGGTAACTTTCAGGTTTTGGATCTATGCTCCGAGCACTTGGCGCTCAAATTGAAAAGACAACGAATCGAGAGGCTTGCCGAGATCTTAGTGGAAGGAGACTACGAGACGTTAACCACGAAAAAGCGTGAGGCATTTACTTTATCAGAAATATCATTATAAAATACAATGACCTATCTTTCATTGTTAGAAGAGGTCAAACAAGAGGCTTTTATGGTCAGAATAATGAAACTTTATGGATATTAGAAGGAGCTTTTAGCTCTTTGAAACCCTTAACACAATATGGATAGAAGCTAGCAGGAGTCTACTGTCTGCTTGAAGAGTATACAAATTAGTGCAAATTAAAGGTGACCATACTGCAGCGTGTTTGTGAGATGTTTGTCTGTACCTATTGTCAGTGTTTCTCAGGGATAGAATAGTGTTCTCACACAACAGAAAAATTATAGGATCCTCAAAGCACACAACCATGTAGCTGCAGGCCAGTGATATTCACGCAACTTTGGAGCCCATCATTAATCTGTCTTGCATAAATAAACCTTCCTCCCTCCAGTAGTGAAATTTCCATGTGTTGCTGCAGGGTGCATCTTTTTTTTGTGACTAACTCACTTATTTCCTATCCTCTTCCTTTTTCTGTCCCCATGAGTGGGTGAAAGTGTTCAGTAACTGCAGAGCAATAATCATTGTTAGATTAAAATGACTGAATGGTTCCTATTTTTTGGACCCTTTTTTCTCTGCAGAATGGCTGAGTGGGTGAAGCAGCAAGCAGAGCGAGAAGCAGAAAAAGAACAAAGACGCCTAGAAAGGCTGCAGCGTAAACTTGCAGAACCAAAACACTTTTTCACTAATCCAGACTACCAGCAACAGTGTCACGAGATGGCTGAGCGGCTAGAGGATTCAGTTCTTAAAGGTACTACTGAGTACTTGGAATGACTCCTTAAAATAACTGTTATCAGTCAACATAGGACTGTTTTCAATCATATCTTATTAAAATATGGCTGTTTGAATTAACACTATTTGAGAAATTGTTACTGACCTTAAATATTTCAGGCTACATTCCACTATTTCATCTGGGTGAAATAGACCAAATTTGACTTCTAATTAGGGCTGTCAAGTGATAAAAAATATTAATCGTGCGTTTAATCGCACTGTTAAACAATAATAGAATACCATTTATTTAAATATTTTTGGATGTTTTCTACATTTTCAAATATATTGATTTCAGTCACAACACAAAATACAAAGTGTACAGTGCTCACTTTATTTTTTAGTAAAATAATTTACACTAAAAAAACAAAAGAAATAGTATTTTTCAGTTCACCTCATACAAGTACTGTAATGCAGACTCTTTATCATGAAAGTTGAACTTACAAATGTAGAATTATGTACAAAAAAACCTGCATTCAAAAATAAAACAATGTAAAACTTTAGAACCTACAAGTCCAATCAGTCCTACTTCTTGTTCAGTTGCTCAGATAAACATAGGTTTCAGAGGAACAGCCGTGTTAGTCTGTATTCGCAAAAAGAAAAGGAGTACTTGTGGCACCTTAGAGACTAACCAATTTATTTGAGCATGAGCTTTCGTGAGCCACAGCTCACTTCATCAGATGTGTACCATGGAAACTGCAGCAGACTGCTGCAGTTTCCACGGTACACATCTGATGAAGTGAGCTGTGGCTCACGAAAGCTCATGCTCAAATAAATTGGTTAGTCTCTAAGGTGCCACAAGTACTCCTTTTCTTTTTCAGATAAACATGTTTGTTTACATTTGCAGAAGGTAATGCTGCCCGCTTCTTGTTTACAATGTCACCTGAAAGTGAGAACAGGTGTGTGCATGGCACTGTTGTAGCCGGCATCACAAGATGTTTACATGCCAGATGTGCTAAAGATTCATATGTCCCTTGTTGCTTCAACCACCATTCCAGGGGACATGCATCCATGCTGATGACTGGTTCTGCTAGATAACGATCCAAAGTAGGGCGGACCAATGCATGTCAATTTTCATAATCTGAATCAGATGCCACCAGCAGAAGGTTGATTTTCTTTTTTGATGGATTGGGTTCTGTAATTTCTGCATCAGAGTGTTGCTCTTTTAAGACATCTGAAAGCATGCTCCACACCTCGTCCCTCTCAGATTTTGGAAGGCACTTCAGATTCTTAAATCTTGGGTTGAGTGCTGTAGCTATCTTTAGAAATTTCACATTGGTATCTTCTCTGCATTTTGTCTAATTTGCAGTTAAAGTGTTCTTAAAACTAACATGTGCTGGGTCATCATCTGACACTGCTATAATACGAAATATATGGCAAAATGAGGGTAAAACAGAGCAGGAGACATACAGTTCTCCCCCAAGGAGTTCAGTCACAAATTTAATTAATGCATTTTTTTTTTAACAAGTGTGATCAGCATGGAAGCATGTCCTCTGGAACGACTGACAAAGCATGAAGAGGCATATGAATCTTTAGTGAGTCTGGCACATAAATAGCAGTGCCATCAAAAACTCTCTGAAGATGGTGATAGGAACTTAGCAGTAAGAATCATATGTAAACTTTTTTGTAGTAAACAGATCATAGATTAACAAATTTTATGGAGAGTTTAGAAATAGACTATAATAAAATATCTGGATTACACAAGTGTCCTTTGCAGTTACGTTGTGTAGCCATTGATTGTTACCCTGTTGGGAGGTTCAGCAGGGGCACAAGATAACTTTTCACCTCAGAAGTGCTCTCTCCAGTACAGGGTTGACTCTCCTGTGGGGAAGCTTTTGCTGCTGCTGCCCACATTATGTCTGTTCTGAGTTTATGTGGAAGACTTCACTCTCCAGGGCTCTCAGTCCAGCACCTTCCACAAATACTAAAGAAAGACATCTTACGTACTTATGGAAAGTAATTGGAACCATAGAGCATCCTTGTTCTCCTTGATCAGCTACTTGGAGCTTTAAAATCTTCTTATATGGATTTGGTAATCTCATAACCTAATATAGAGTAGAATAAATCTTTTAACTTTGCTTTGAAGGAATGCAGGCCTCTTCCAGTAAGATGGTGTCTCCAGAAACCAGTGATTGTCGGAAGCGCCCAAATGAGTCAGAAAAGAGTGGAGCTAAATTTGGGAAAAGGAAATGTTTTTGGTAAGTATTATGGCTTGAACAAGCTTCTTAAAGAATAAGAAAAGCAATAGATAATTACCAAGGGGAAATGATTACTTTTTGTATCACTGGTACAGACTTAAAATACCATTTTAACTAATCAACAGTAAAAGTCAGACAGCTGAAAGTGAGCACTCCCAGGAACAGTGCTACCGCCGTTCTACAGGCACCAAGGAAATCTAATCTGAAGGAGCTTTGACCCCTCTCATCTTTCCCTCGTACAGTAACTCCTCACTTAAAGTCGTCCCGGTTAATGTTTTTTCATTGTTACGTCGCTGATGTATTAGAGAACATACTAATTTAAAGTTGCGCAATGTTTGCTTGTAACGTTGTTTGGCCATGGGGGCTTGGAACCAGGGTGGGCCGGCAGCTCCCCTCCACCACCCCCCAGCATCTCCCACCGGCTGGCGGCCCTGCGGATCAGCAACTCCCCGCTCTCTCCCCGTGCCTCCCGCCTGCAGCAATCAGCTGTCCCAGCATTCAGGGGGGAAGATGTGGTGTGCTGGGGGGGGAGGGAGGAGAAGGGAGAGCAGGGGTGGGAAGAGGTGGGGCAGGGGTAGAGTAGGGGTGGGAAGAGGCAGGGTGGGGGTGGGGCCTTGGGGGAAGGGGGTGGAGTGGGGGCAGGCCTGGGGCAGAGCTGGGGGTTGAGCACCCCTGGTACTTTGGAAAGAACAGCAAGAGGAGCAGCTGGACGATTCACCCTCTGACTCCACCTTAACCAAGTTTCACAGTCATCATTGCTGAGTACAGTATTGCATTATTTGTTTAAAATTGTTTAAAACTTATACTGTATATGTATATAATGTCTTTTGTCTGGCGAAAAAAAATTTCCCTGGAATCTAACCCTTCCCCTGCATTTACATTCATTCTTATGGGGAAATTGGATTTGTTTAACATCGTTTCGCTTAAAATTGCATTTTTCAAGAACATTAAGTGAGGAGTTACTGCACTGCTTCATGCCCCGGTGCGTCCTGCTGCCCTGCCCTCATCAGTGGTAATTCTGGATAATTAAACTGGGCTCAACCTTTCCTACCTTATGTAACTTGAAGACTTTTTTTTGACCCCTTTAATCTTCTCTCACTCCAGTTTGTTCATCTTTCGTAGAGAAAACAGTGGGAGAATCATAAATTGTTCTGTTCTTTTAACAAAATGAGTTCTTGAATTCCATTGATGAACTAGAATGATTAGACATAGTAAAGATGCTCATGTGGCTAAAGGTCTGCCATCTGGCAGTAGTAGATTTGGCTCATTCTTTACTAGGAGTGCTTTAGAAAATATATCTGGCTCCTGAGGGAGTGCCTGGAGTTATGTACAGTAACAGTGACTTCTACCCTTTTGAGTGCAGGAATTAAATTGGTCTGGAGACAATCCAGTCTAGTCCTCCTTTGCTAGGCTAGTACAGTGAGTTCTTTGGGGCACGTGAAGGAGAAAGTAACTCTTTTTAATTAAAATTTTTTAACCAGTGTTGTTTGTAACAGGATGGGAGTGGAAGGACTGGCAGATCCCGAGAGCTCAGATGATGGTGATAGTGAAGATGATTCTCCTAGCACGGCAGAAGGTAGTTGGCAATCAACTGGCAGCCACGTTGAAAAGACTGAACTCACAAGTGAGTGGCCCAGTAGCTCAGAGGATTCCACTGGATGCAGTTCAACCTCCAATCCTACTGAGAAATCACAAGAACAACGAGAAGATCTTGGAAAAGATCTACCAGAGAAGGTAGAAACTCCAGCAGCTGATGAAAAAAATGAAGCAGCTAAGACCCTGAAGGATGGGGAGCAAGAGAATGTTTTAGCTACTCAGCAGGAAACAAACCAGTTGCAGAGCACAGTAAGCAGTACTAAATGTGAATGTCTAGAGATGGACTTAATGCTTCTTTTTCCTCTCTGCCCATCATCTGTCTTTGGACCACTTTTTCTATCATCCAGTTAGTGAATGACCTACCTAACTGACATAAAGGAACACGGCCAAAGTAGTTGGGTCTAAAAATTAACTTGCCTTGATGGTTCTCATGATAATTCATATTTCTAAATAATGCTCACTCTGGGCTCTAAATAGCTCCTTATAGCAGCTCAAAACAATTCCCAAGTTACTGCATGAACCACTTTAAAACCAATTGGCTTAGTTATGCTAGATCAGAGGTGGGAAAACTATGGCCCGTGGGCCACATCCGGCCTGTGGGACCCTCCTGCCCGGCCCCTGAGCCTCTGGCCCAGGAGGCCCCTCCCCCGCTGTTCCCCCTCCCCCGCAGCCTCAGCTCACTGCGCTGTCGGCGCAATGCTCTGGGCGGCAGGGCTGCGAGCTCTTGCCGGGCAGCGCAGTTGCAGAGCCGTGGCCTGACCCGGTGCTCTGAGCTGTGCGGTGGCGGGGCTGGCTCCAGCCGGGCGGCTCGGCTGCCTGTCCTGGCGCTCTGGGCCCCGCGGCTGTAGCGCCGCCAGCCACCGGTGCTCTAGGCAGCTGGGGGGGGTTGGATAGAGGGCAGGGGAGTTTGGGGTGGTGGTCGGGGTGGTGGTGGTGTGGATAGGGGGCAGGGCCGTCAGAGGAATGGGGGCAGTCAGGAAGGGGGGGGTGGATGGGGCGGCAGGGGTCCCAGGAGAGCCGTCAGGGGACGGGGGGGGTTGGATGGGGCAGGAGTCCCAGGGGGGCCATCAGGGAACAGGGGGCTTGGATCTGATGAATATGGATGTGTATAGTGGACTTTGGTTTGCCTTTTTCTGACTATTCATTCAGTAGAAGTGTTCATAAAAACCTGCCAGTGTGCCTGGGCTCCTGCAGGGGATGGTAGCTAGAATGCTCCCTAAGTGGCTATATTTCCTCAATATCATGTGGTCCATATATCTGTTGGTGAGGTGATGTTAAGTGATCATTATACTAGTGTCTTGAGGCCACTTAATTATCTTCAATACACATTAGTCTTATCCTGAAGCCATCACCTTCACTCAACTGAAAAATACCACTGGTTAGGACAGGAGGAAGATCAGTGAAAGATACATCCTGCACTATGGACTAAAAGTGGCCATGTACTAGCTCTAATGGAAACTAACTCCAGGGAGAGTCCTCCAGTGACACCTATCACAAAACCCCCATGAGTTCAGCACTGGAACCAAAGCAGTAATGCCTCAGGTTGTAACTGGAGTGATAGGTCATGGGGGAATGTTAATCTCTGAGATAGCCAAGTCCTAGCATGTCTAGGGCTCTCCACGTCTAACTGCTCTCAGCTATCTATTCTCTCTCTTTCCTGAAGGGGTTAGGCACCCCTCATGAGTGTCTTTCCTTTTTCCCACAAGTGTAGCCAGAGATCATCCCATTTGTCTGAAAAGTTCTTCCTCTTGGAAAATATAGTCTACTTTGTAGGATGAAAGATTTTTCCGGCTCACTGTATCAAGTTTGGTCACATCACCTTTAAGTGTAGGTTGACCTTAATATTCATCCTTGAAGGTTACCTAAGTTAGAAGTTAGTCACTTGGGGCTTTTGTTTGGAGCAGACAAAAGCCAATTGATTAGTTCATCTATCTCGGTTTTCTCTTATATAAACACTTCAGTGTGGTGTTTGGACAAACCACCTTAGATAACTGAGACTGCAGCTCTCATTCAAGCAACAAGATTCGGTTCCAGTATGTCTCTTAGACAGTAGCAGCTCCTGGGAGCAAGGATGTGATGTGCCACGGTTGAGTTTCCAAACAGTGGTGGAAGAGCAGATTTAAAGAAAACAATGAATCCATTATCTCAACAGTGGAGTAACCTACTTACTCATATTTCCTTAATAGATGGGCAGTTCAGAGTCTTATGTATCACATCACTGACAAGGTATATTAATTACTTTGTTGAATTTTTGTCAGCTACATGAGAGGCCTGGATTAGCTTTCTAGCCAATGAAAATTTGATTTTCAGCCTTTGACTTCTGCAGAGTCTTTCTTAGTCGTAGTAATATGTTTGGACACATTCATTCCAAAGAGCTGAATCTTGACAATTGGCAAGTAAGTGAACAAACAAAATTGAATGAGGGAAAACCCATCACAAAATGTACTTGAGTTTTTAACAGGTGTAGTTCAGTTAACTGAAACTTTGTAATATATGCTTGAGTGGCCAGTAGGAACTATCTTAAACTGGATATTTGCAACACAGTGGTGTTTTATCTTTTCCCTCATTATTTGCAGCATTCCCGCCTCTTGGAACAGGAAACTTCACAAATGGCATAGTAAATTCTTGTAGGTAGCAAATATTATGATGGTGCCCGCTGCATTTTGTGAAAGTAGTGACGATAGTAATAAGACCTCAGAACAGCTCCATTCGGTGCTAAGACACAGTGAGGGGGTTTTGTTTTTGTTTTTTTTGTATGTGTAGCTTGGCAATGTGCAATACTGTACAGAATCAGACCCTGTTCTTAAGTAAACACTTACTGCTGGTTATTGGGCCAACAAATGAGCTGTCTCATTTCCATCACTGGGACCGTTTATTATTGAGTCCCTTTTGTTAACTCAAGCATGACACTTCATAGGTGGCACTGTGCTTGTTAATAAGTGGATACTAATAAATTGCATTGATATGACTCTTCCTAGAAGTTGAAGATGCTGATTTTCTTCATTTAAGGCATGGTTGGTGTCAGCTATGCTATGCGTCAAGATAAGATGCACTCCTAGAGCTTTACTCTCCCCTAAACACCTCATAAAAAGAGAATAGTTTGTCTGCAGTTCTTGTAACTTCAAGGTGGTTGAAATAGAAAAGTAGGCTGTCCCACCCCCTTTCGTGCTACTCATGGTGACTATTTCATCTTGGCTATATTCCAAATGAAGAAGGCTTGTAGCTTTGTGTCCTAGGTAGTGGATGGCCTGTGCAACTGAAGGATAAGGTGTTGAACTGTTAAGTGTTCAAGAATTCTGTGTTCATGCGATTATTTTTCTGTTACTTCCGAAGAACAAGAAGATAACAGGTCACTTGTTTTTATTTCCAGTTTGTTCAGCCCTCTCTTATAAACAGACTGTTAAACCCTGACCGACTAATTTGGTCCATGGTATTTTGGCAGGATAACTTTAGAAATATAGTTGTCTGTAGATCACAAAAAGGAGTCTTAGGTTACTGGAATTCAAGCTTAATTGTGAAAATATCCCACTTACTGTACATAGATGTTTAACTATATTGTCACACTTTGAAAGTGTTTGGGTAACTTCCAAATAAGCCTGGAGTAGTAGTCTTCTGTAAAATGAATTCTTGTTGGAGACCAAATGAGCATAAGCCAAGAAGAACATATTGTTAATCTATTAAAACAATGAATTAATTGCATGTTCTCTCTGCAGGAGCCTACGCGAATAGATTTGCTGGCATTCAACTCTGCTGCCGAGATGGAAGAGCTAGGATTAGAGATGCTGAAGTTCGAACTGATGGCTCTAGGTCTGAAATGTGGAGGCACTTTACAGGAAAGAGCTGCGAGGCTTTTCTCAGTGAGAGGTCTGTCTAAAGACCAGATAGATCCGGCCCTGTTTGCAAAGTCCTCTAAAGGGAAAAAGAAATAAAATATATGCTGCTGTTAATTTCTGTTTATATCTGCACACTTCAGAAAAACAGCTTCTGTTCTGCTGTCACTCTGTGGGTTACAGTACCAACTGATGCTTTTATTAAGACCATTAAAAAATGGAAATCGGAGTATCTACACGCATCAAGTGCAAGTGGCAAGTTACAGAGCAAATTGCATAGTAGTAAGTGCTAAGTATTAAAGGGAGCTGAAAATGTAAACTGCTACATTTAAATCATATAATTAACAGCACACAGTGTCCCAGGAGGGTAGGAGAAACTGATGCTCAGAAGAGAGTGCTTTCCAGAAACGGATGTTCAACGCTGTCAGTGCCCAATTAAGTAAAAGTCAAACTAACTGAGTTAATATAGGATTACTAATCTGCTTTAATCTCCAGTTAGCCCAGATGGAACATGATTCAGTCTTGACAACTGAAGTCTGTCTTGAGGGAAAGGGAAACCTGTTGTATGGGTGACTTCAGATATGGTTAAATGCACTCTTTGTGAATTGGCTTGATAGTGCTGTCAAGCGTTGGTATAACAGGCTAATACAAGTGAAAACTTCGCTGTTTTGTGTGTGATATGACTTGTTGGTGTAAATATGTTTTCTTTAAATGAAAAGCAGTTTAATAAAGGAATCTTTATATATGAAGCTCTAGAAGAGACTTTGAATGGGGGAAAGGAGAAGACATCACGTATAAATACTTTTGAAGTACGTAATACACATGAAGGAGGCAAATTAATTGGAAGACAACGTGGAGCAATGGCTTGAAGCTTAATGAGAAGTCTTCCTAATAAAAGCAGCAGAGTATGTTCTCCAGGGAGCTGGATGAAGCACTATTATTGTAGGTATTCTAAAGCATGTTTTATACCACAATAGTGGAGATGGCTGTCATGAGTGGTCCTGCAAATTTACAAGGGGCCACGTGTTGAAGGCCAAGGGCCACATGCTTCCATGGATTTGTGGGTGCAACTTCAGTAGAGGTTTGTATAAAAAGATAGATAGCAGGATAGATTCCCACAAGTGGTCTTTCTGCCTGTGGCCGCCTATGGAATATGTTCTTTATCATTTTTATTTCACTTCAGCTTAAAGAGCAGTAGAAGCAAAGAAAAGATCCTTTTATGCAATGGATTGTCAACCTGTGGAATTGCTGCATGAAATCACTAAGACAGCATGCAGGTGTCTAATACACAACTGGGTAATCTTGACCTCTAGCACTTACACTTTGATCAAAGCTGCTGGTGATCCTGCAAGAAATCCACTTACAGCCTGAATATGAAAGTTTTGATCCTCTGCAGGAATACACTTCTTGCATAACTACTTGCCAAGGCTGCTGTAACCTCTTTCCCAGAGTATTGTGTAGGTTACAGTCCAGCGTGGGAGCTCTGTTGCATTGGCTGCCACTTCCTTAATCCAAAATATAGTTGTATTGGCTAGAGGCAATTCGTATAGAAAATAAAATAGAGCTTATTGTAAAGTATCAGCAAGAAACCCTGTCCATGATGGACGCTCGAGTGATGGGCAGACCATACAGATAGAAACTGCTCTTTGAAGATCAGGCTGACCTTCAAAAGTTCAGCATGGGAGAGGTCTCCCAGCTGAGTATGGTCCTGCTATGATGGCAGTTGATTGTCTGTCTGAAATATGCTGGGCACGCTTTCCCAGAAGGGTGAATCTTTCTAGTACAGTAGGCAATCTCATTGAGTGCTTCCTGCTCACCCTATTCTTTGCAGAACAGTGGGCTTTTAATTACAGAACATGGGGAAATTGGGTGGATAGTCTAAGATAAAATATAAAATAAGTGACTATTGAATGTAGAGTGAGAGCAGTTGTCAAACTACGTTTTGAAACTAGGTACTGCAACTTGGAGGGTAAAAACTTGACCATTTGGGGGTGTGCTGGGTTTTTTTATGCAAACACCATTTGAGTTCTTCACCTAGGGCAGCTCTTGTGTGGCTGTGGCTCTGAGGTGGTATGTGCTAAGCTGGTGTTGGAGGTTTTCACTAGCATCCTGTCCCATCTTTATCCAGTGCAAATGGTTTAGATTTGGAAAGAGCAATGTCTTCTCTCCTGTTTGAGACTATGGGCAGTTTATTTGTACTAGGGTTTGCATCAGAAGAAGGTGTAGTTGGGGATTGCAGTAACAAATATGAAAATAGGTATTAGGCAACCAGTTCACCTTCATTGCATTTAACATAAACAGTTTGTGTATCAGTATTCCATTTCCAGCTCCTGCCCTCTTCACAATATTCAGTCATCAGGAGCTGAATCTTCTAGACTAGGAATGACCTTACCTCTTTCCCAGTTAGCCACAGAGTTATACAATGTTCATGCAGCTGCTGTGGAACTAGTTGTAAGCCTGTGTCCTTACGCTCTCCTCACTAACATGGCCTATGTGTATCCAATGAATGCATCCGATGAAGTGAGCTGTAGCTCACGAAAGCTTATGCTCAAATAAATTGGTTAGTCTCTAAGGTGTCACAAGTACTCCTTTTCTTTTTGCCAATACAGACTAACACGGCTGTTACTCTGAAACATGGCCTATATTGTATTTCTTGCATTTCCCAAAGGTATATGAAAGTCACAGAGTGCTCTTCCCCCCATGGATTATTGGACAGGCACTGTTGTTTCTTGTAAGGAGTAATATTGCTCTAGTAAGTTTAATTATTTCTCTAGCAGTTAGAGCAGAAGCCTGAGAATTAAACTCTTGGGGGCTTTTCCACTGCTTCTGTATGTGGTTAGCCAAGATATGTAAGCTCTCTGCGTCTTAGTTATCCATCTGTCGAATGTGGGTAGGAGTTATCTTAAGGCTGTTGTGATGCTTAGTTAATATTTTAAAAGCACTTTGAGATCAAATTCTTTTGACATTTACAGAATAAATCATTTAAATTTTTTTTATTTGAAATAACTGTTCTGGAGTTCCCTTCAGTTTTGTTTTGTTTAAAGCTAAATGATCAATCAAAATGGAATGTTCAATTTGACTGGAAGCAAATTGTTCTACTTTTTCGGTTGGCTTGAAGAAGTGTAGTTTAAGGTTAACCTAAACAATTTTTAATTTTTTTTTTTTTTTTTTTTTGGTCAGAACTGAAAACCCAGTTATTCACACCACTCTAGTGCTGGCAGTCCTCCAGTGCTTTCCCACGCTTTTCCTTGTGTGCCCAGACAAGTTCTCCCACAACTCATTGGGAAAGAATTAAAGCAGCACAGCTTACTGCAGAACTGTGGGATATGCCATGAGAAGTCCTAGAACCTAGACAAGTTAGTTCAGCAGCAGTGTGGATGCACGTGAGATAAGCCAACGCAGGTGCTCACAGCTGAGTTAACTCTACAGCAAAGCTATATGCTGTGTGCTGCTGGTTTTGGGAAAAAATTCTGTTACTTTGTCTCTCAGAGCAAGTGGAGTTTAGCAAAGCTGCCCTAGAATAATTTATGGTGGAAATTGACCTTTTACTAGTTCCTCTCCACCTCACCTAGCATGATTACAAACTTATCTGTCATTCACCAGTGCGTCGTCTGAAAATGTGTTTTTAGTACGAGTTGTATCATTCAGTAGTCTTGTTTTACTAATACCCCTGTATTAATGGACACATGGCGCCGTTCCCACAGTAGGAGAGCAGAGAAGCATCGTTTTTCCACTAGATGTCACTGTGCACTGTTAACACATGGAAGGCTGTTGCATTGCACAGCAGCTTGAAGAGGGGAAATAAGGTCTGAGTTATATTTTCATGTACAGAAAAGGGGGGCGGGGGTTGTTTTTCTGGCTGGCTAACTTTTTGTAAGAAAAAACTAGTTAGACCCCAAATTAAGTTAAATAAATATTAACCTGACCCACAAACTTAGAGAGTTTCTGATCTCCGCTGTAAATCCAGAGTAACTCCACTCTGAGGAGTAATTCAGTGGAACTATCTGGATTTACCTTAGTGTGCCTAGAATCAAAATCTGGCCATTAGGATTCACAGGTGGCTTGTTGGCAAATATGCTCTACAGCAGTGATGCCCAACCTTATTACGCAGGAGCCCCATATAAACCTAAGCCTAACCTAGTGTGGGCCAAACAGATTCTACCTATTTTAATAAGATTTAAAGTTGCCTGTACTGATTTATATTTCAAGTTCAGCTTGTTTCGTATGTATTGATAGACAATACTGTACATAGAAACAACCTATTTACCTGGTCAAAATGCTAATGAATTGTGTATATAGTGTTGAAGCAGGCTGCAGGCCTTATGATGTGCTCTGATGGGCTGTAGGTGTAGGCACTCCTGTTCTATAGAAAGGAAACTATTCTTAACAGTATAGAGCTGGACTATTAGAGGTGTAATGCTGTAGCTCACAAAAGCTCATGCTCAAATAAATTGGTTAGCCTCTAAGGTGCCACTTGTCCTCCTTTTCTTTTTGCGAATACAGACTAACACGGCTGCTACTCTGAAACCTATTAGAGGTGTGATTTGTACTTTTCATTAGAATTCCTGAGCTAATATTCCTAGAGCAGGGGTGGGCAAACTATGGCTGGCAGGCTAGATCCTGCCCACAGATTTGCCACCGCTGTGGTGCCATGGGCCCTGTGCCGCTCACCACGTCCCTGCAGCCCCTGGGGGACGGGGGCAGAGGGCTCTATGTGCTGCTCTTGCCTGTGGGTACCTCCCAGAGAGCTCCCATCAGCCGGGGACGGGAAACCGCAGCCAATGGGAGCTTTGGGGGAGGTACCCACATGTGTGCGGAGCCCTCTGCCCCCTCCCCCAGGGGCCTCAGGGATGTGGTGCCAGCTGCTTCCTGGAGTGGCGCAGGCTCGGAGCACGCTGCTGCCACCCCAGAGCCGCTCTGGGTAAGCGGTGCCAGGCCAGAGCCTGCGCCCTGAACCCCATCCTGCACCCCACACTCTGACTCCCTGCCCTGAGCTCCATGACCCGCCCTGCCCCCCTTCTGGCACACCGCCCCAGCCCTACAGTCATGGCCTTGCAAGCAATTTCCCTACCTCGCTGTGGCCCTCGGGGCAAAAAGTTTGCCCCACCCCGTCTTAGAGTCAGTTTAGGTGTATTAGAGTTTTTGTGGAGTTAAAACAGGGCCCGGGGAGTCAGAAGATCAACTCTGCAACTAACTTAAGTGGTATGAGGCAAGTAAGGCTGTTTCTCTGTGACTTGGTTTCACTATTTTTAAAATACGTATAATACATTTGAAAACACATGAGGCCCTTTGAAAAAAATGCTCTGTAGAAGTGTGAAGTATTCCAGAACAACACTTAACATTAGCAGGGGGCCTTTCATCTGAGGATCTTGGAGTGCTTTACAAGCATTCACTAATTAAGCTTCATGACACCCTGAGGTACAAAAGCATATGCATACATTTTCACTAATGTTAATTATGCCTGCCAGATCAATGGCCTTAAAGTCTATGAGTCTATCCTCACAGCTACTGCTGGGTTATAGGAAATCCATTTGCGCATAGTTTTCTGAAAATGTAGGGTGTAATATTTAAGTGCTCCTCTATTAATAACACATGGAAATCTGGGGTTTTTTACATGTGTATGTACTCTAAAGATAATGGGTGTGCCCTGGAACAGATTAGCACTAGTATAATCCCCTTTACTTTAAAGTGTAATGACTATTTTTTTTCATGAGGAGCAATTATTTAGATTGAGCAGATGACTACAAAG